TTTCCTGTTTAAAGAAACAACTTGTCAAAGGAAAAGCAAATGCTTGAAAGCCAACACCGCATTGGTCAATGCCATTTCAAAATTTAAATATTGATACAATGACTTTGTTTCATGTGGTTGCAATAACTGAGCCTGGGATCTGGTTGAAGCTAATGAGGGTTTTATGGTTCTCTGGTGGGTGTGTTGGTGCAGACTGCTCGTCTGGAGACTAACTGTGGCTGTCACACTGAAAGAGATGAGAATGGTTTTACTAATCCAGACCTAAAGCAGTTCCAAGGGACTATACGGCAGTGACACACAACATCCTCTTCAACATGGGTGTATAGTCACATACTAAGCATGTGTGCACTAAAACTTAAAATAAGGCGACTTAACTTAGTCAACTTAAGTTAAGCCACATTGGAACATGCACACAGACAGCTTCTTGACATGGTGGCAGCTGTCTTGTAAGCTAAGTCAACTTAACTAACGCAACTCAAGAGGGTGTATTATCTTGTGCCGCATTTAAGTTGACTCTCCTCTACATGCATGTGTACACTCTGACAGTAAAGCTGACTTAAAAAAAGTTAAGCCAGCTGAACTGTCAAAAAGTGAGTACACATGTACACACCCCTTAGGTCAAAGTATCACAGGCCATGGGATGGGAGCAACAAGCAAAAAGACAAACGGAAACAAAGGGAATTGGGCGGGGGGGGGTGGAAAGAAGAGTAAAATGATCTCACTGGAATTTGGCCAGGTCACAAAAGCTAAGGCAGTGGTACTCAACCTCTTTGGCTGGCAGATCAGATGGGCAGCACTCAGTCCAATGGCAGCGCAGGTCTAGCCAGTGGTCTGGATCCAGTGTCTGGGGCAGTTGTGGTAGGACCCCATCTGGCTGTGGGGGTGAGGCAGGCAGTTTGGCCTCCACCTGGCCCTGATCCAGCTGTGGGAGGGTGAGGGTGCCCTGACCCCAATGGATTTGTGGGAGGTATGACCAGAGGGTCAGTGGTTGAGCACCCTTAGCCTAAGGGATTTCCCCCCCCCCCCCCCCCCCCCCC